GAATACCTATCCTAGTAGAAAGTGAAGTGGATTTTCTTTCTGGTTCCTATTTTTGTCATCATCTTGTTTTCTTCAGTTGGACTGAATGTTTATAGTTTAGGTAACATTCCCTTGTCGCCCAAGGGTGCAGACCGTCTTATGTACACGAAGGCTGGGAAGTAACATCTGAGCGTTCTGGTATTTCCTCGCTTAAAGGGAGTTTCGGAAAGAAAGGGCAGGACTGCCTCTGGCCCCGTGGTGGAAGGTGGGTGTCCAGTTATAAAGACATGTTTGTATCACTGTTGAATGACTGTGCATCTGTGAAGGGCAGCGCACTTTTTTTTTTTTTTTTAAACAAGCAAAGAGTAGTTTAATAAGGCAAAAGCTGCCTGCGGGCCAGCGCCAGAGGTGAGCAGCCCGGTAGGGGTCGGGCTGGAGGGGCTTGCCGCTGGAGTTTATACAGGGGCTAGAACATCTGTCAGGTAGGTGGGGATTTCGGAGAATGGGGGTGGTTCCAAGAAATAGGGTGATGCCCTCTTTATCTAGATGGTCAGCCTCGGAACTGCCCTGGTGCCAACAGGCATAATTGTTAGTCTGCTAACGAGCATACAGTGGGCACTGAGGTAAAGTCAGGGTCAACTCCAGGTTGGAACCAGCCAGTTCTGGCAGGTCTGGTATTGATCCCCTCCCTCCCCACATCCCACCAGAATAGTTGACATGGAATCTTTAGAATATAAACAGGTATCCAACTGTAAACCGGCCAAAGTCCCCAACCCCCTCCTCATGTCTGGCTGGCTGCCTGCTCCAACATCCCCCTCAAGGACTGTGGACCCTTGAAATGTTTCGAGGGAGAGGGTGTCGGTCATTCATCTGTAGCATCTTTCTGCTGGGGAGGCCACTGTCCCTGCATGTGGGTTCGGCAGTTCCTTGCTGTCTGTCGGAGAGAGGGGTCCCGGAGCTGTCTCAGCAGCGGCTGAGGTGGACAGGAGCTCAGGAGAGGAGAGGGCAGCCGGGCTGCGGGGTTGTTGGTGTGCGTCTTCATCAACCAGCATGAGGGGGCAGTTAAGATCCTCTGAGCAGCATCTGGAGTTGGATTTTCTGTAATCTGGAAGAAACAAACCTGATGACATTAAGAATGCGTGGCCCCAATAGGACTAGGAAGGGTAAGACCCCAGGTGCATCGATGGGAGGAAACTGGAAAAGCCAGTTTGGAGAATCATAGCCAGATATTCTTGAGGAAACCAGAAGAATTCAGAATGCAGTCCAGTTCGTAACAAACAGGATTAGAATCTTATCTCCATAAGGCTGCACTGTTGAAACATTCTTTTCTCTCTAAAATCACTCTCATTTTTATTAGAAGTAACCATATTAAGATGGATTTGTTTGTAAACTTGGCCCTAAGTAAGTGCAGGAAGAATACTAACCGACCATATAGATGCTTTTCAGATCTGCTTTGCTGGAACTTTTTCATAAGGAACCTCAGATCAAACATGTAAAAAGACTTCTCAAGGCCAGGAAAGCTAAGCCGTGAACTTTGTCATCAGTTTCCCTGCAATACCTACAGATTTGGTTGAATTCCTCTCTTCTCAAGGTCCCCGAAATACCCTGAGGCTCCTGCGCCCAGGAAATGACCTTCCTTAACTCACGTGGCAGCTGCTGGGAACCCTGTGAGCCAGGTGCCAGGCCAGTTCTTCCACGGGGCTGTGTTGGCTCCATAAAGTCAACCTTAGTTCCTTCAAGCCACCTGGTCATGTATGAGTCTGTGCACATCTCTCTTAAATATGACATTCCAGGCAAAGCCCTGGTAATGTAACCAATGTTTTCAATTGTGTCCAGTTCCAAAGAGAACAGATTCTTATTAAACTTATGCAAATAAATATATTGCCGTAAAATATAAAAATACTGAGAGTTTCCAAGTTCGGAGGGATCAGGAAGAGAAAATGCTGAATGTTTCCGTTCTCAAGGGCAGTTCACTTGACAGCCTGGGGAAGTGTGGCACGGATGGCACTCCAGAATGGAGTTGATTGAGGGGTGGCTGGCCGGCTGCTGCCACCACAGAGCCAGCCAGCACAGCACCAAGGAAGGACACAGCCAGTGGCCCCCGCCTGACCGTTCCTGCTGGAAGATGAGCAGACGTCCCTGCCCCAGCCTGTAACCTGCATTAATTCGCCAGCCTGTCTACTTTGACCTAACTGTCTTAGCTGTGTTCAGAAATTTCGCTGCAGTTAGGGCTTTTCTCTAGCATTTGTTTCTTTTTAATTACCAGTTTAAACTGATGTCTCCAGAAAGGCAAGATGCTTTTCAGATGGTTGGCTTGAAAGGCGAATGGTACTTAGTGTGATTCTCCCGGCACAGTGGTCCACCTTCCTCTGCTGTGCAGCCAGGATCTGTGGCTTCCTCCCCAGCAGCTCACTGAGATCCCCACTTGGACTGTGAAGGCCCTGGCCCCTTGCAAGGGGTACCCCTAGGCAGGGAATTGCGCCCTAGGGCACTAAAGGGTTTCTGGAAGCCATTAATGCTCTCGTATGTAATAGTCTACTCTTTTACTGTGGTCCTTTGTGTATGGTGACTTAATGGTTGAATTTGAGGTTTTTCCCTCGCAAGAATGCTGAATTTGCACTGTTCTACACAGAGCTGTGCTAATTCTCCTCCTGTGACTGCTGCTACCATCTCACACACTTGGCTTAGTTTCGGTCCATGGAAGCTTCAGTTAATCGGTTCATTTGTAACTCAATCCTGTTAAAAATTTGTGTTGCAATCTGTTCTATTAAGTTTCATGTAAGACACGGGACAGCCTGGTGCAAAAAGCCTTGGTCTGAGGTGAATGTTCTGGAAGCTTCTCTCCTGGCTCAGTCACGACCTGTGTGACTTTTGCACTTCCATGTGCTCTGGGTGGTCGTAGGTCCCTCCTAGCTGTAAAGCTGTGTGGTTTTCACGGTCACTGACTTCTGCTAAGGTAAGAGTTCTTTCCCATGTTCTCTCCTAAGCCCACTGGAAGATCACTTCTCTTCTAAATCTGTTTCTGTATTAAAATTCCAGATGGGATAACAGAATTTTCAGATAAACTATTTTAGTATAATTATGTCCCAAATACTGTACAGGACATACTTATATAAAAAACTACTTATCTGAAATTTAAATCTAATGAGGCACCCTGTGTTTTTGTTAAATCTGGCAGTCCTGCCCTCTTCACACTTGTAATCAGTTAGACGTCTGGCATCCCCAGCGTAGTCTACTTGGTTCTTACAGTAGAATGTTTTAACTTTTCCTCAGTAGCGTTATCTGGCCCATCTGAATCTAGGGCTTTAAATAAGAAACTCGGTACCAGAGATGGTGATCTCCACAAATGGGGAGCTTCTGGAGCTCTAGTGAAACCTGCGCACACATGCACCGCCTTCGGTGCTCGGAGCTACAGCCTGGAAGCTCTGTGCTTTGCCTGCGGAGTCCTTTCTTTGGGAATGGCGTGTGTGTAGGAGGAGAGGTAACCTAGCTGCACTCTAGGTTATTCTTAGCAGTTTTAGAAACAGAATTCTGAGGCTTTAGTGGCAGAATTGCCCAGCAGGTCCCAGGTCGCTAGGACCATAGACTTTCTCAGGTCTGGGGAGGTGCCCCAACACCTGCAGTTTTAACAAGTTTTCAGGTGATATATCGCTGGGTCAGACCAGTTTGAGACCCACTGTCCCCAGCGTTTTGCTGCAAACTAAAGAACACGAACCATCTAGTCTTGTCTTGTTCAAGTGCAAACGCAGATTGAGAAGTGTGCTTCCCAAAGTGGATCGCCCTTAGCTCGGGCGATGGCAACGCCGGTCTGGGGACCACTTCCAAGTGGCAAGGCTCTAAAGTATGGCTCTCTGAAAAAAGGTGAACTACTCATATTTGGTCAAACTTCTAACTCAGAACTAAAAACACCCTTTTGCAGGGGAGAATTAAAAGGCGCAGTCACCTTGTTTGGACAGGCACCCAAGGAAAACTTACCACCCGAACTGAGGTGACAAATGGGGTAATTTGAGGGTTACTAACATGCCCGCTGACATCAGTCCCAGTCCCACACATAGCTTCTCTGTTCTCACATACTCAAGCGGTGTGAAGATGCCCCCAGTGCATTCTGGTACTTCAGTTAGCGCGCCCCTGCCGGCTCCCAGGGTGAGAAGGGGGGTTGCTGGTAGGTCCATGGAGGGAACGAGTCGTGTGGAAATGGGAGTATTAGGCTTGGCCTGGGAGAGGGTGAAATGTCAGAACCTCACTGAGGTTACGAATGTATCTATCTGAAACTGTAAGACAAAGTGATGACTAGTTTGTGGCCTTGGTAGTCTGTTAGACATTCTGTAGGTGCTATGCTGGGTCTCACCAACTTCTCCTATAATGCACACCAAGTGCTTCAGAGCTTACGTGAAGTAGCTCCCGACTCCCACTGGCAAACTTCGTGCTTTTGGGAAGAGCTTGTCCAAATCTTGCTGGGGAAGGGAGATAACTGAGTCATCAACAGACCACCAGGATAGTACTGATCCTAGTTTTCTGGCCCCTCAAAATGATGCGAAGTAGTTTTTGACCATCAGTGTAAATCAGAGACAAAGGGACTCCAGACCTACCCCAGGCAGGCCCTCCCCTGCTCCCACCTTGGAGGGCGCCAGAGAAAGCTGGTCCTCCACCAGGACATGGGGTTCAGCTCGTCACCAACGCACTGTGCCCCCCCCCCCCCGAGTCCTCAGGCAGGTCCCCAGAGGTTTGTGGCTGGCACAGAACAGTCCAGCCGTGTCCCCAGCTCGGCAGTTAGGGGCAGAGTTCAGGGGATGGATTTACAGGGAGGGTGGAGGATGACGGGGAGCTGAGACAGCTGTGGTCTGAACGTACAGCTGGGGCTTGAGGACAAAACTAGGAATTAATTTTGTTCCACTTGAGACTGGATCCCTGGTTGGTTTCCTGGGCACCCAGACCCAGAAGAATGTGAGCGGGGCAAGGAGAGGCTGACACGTGGCTTCAGACGTGACAGGAGATCCGAGGCCACAACACGTACGCCACACTGAAGGAGAAACCTTTTATTGGCACAGCCATTCCTTGTTAAATTAACAGCATGAAGTGATATCTTAACGGGTAAAAGCTGGTTTCTCCCAAACTAGTCTCGCTGTGGCACTAGAGGTCAGTAGGTCAGCCAAGTCACGACCATCCAGTTGTGTGTTTTGAGAGTCTGTGAAACTAGTACAGCTCTTCCCACTTTGATTTACATGATCAGCTGAGGTGTACAAAACACAAAATTCCTATTAAACCATGCCAAGCACAAGACCAGAGAGGGTTAGCAACACTGCAAAGCTCAACACGGCCTGGGAGAAGGACCTTCTCCGAAGGGCTGTTCCATTATTTCTCTTGACCTACTCCAAATCTAGGAAGTTCTTGCTTAGAGGTACTGCCGACATGTGGGGACTTGTCTGAAGGGCTGCACTTCCCATGCCCTTGGACACCTGTAACCCCGTTGGTCTGCCTGGCTGCCTGGCCGTGCACAGAGGTGGGGTAGGGGTGGGGCATGCAGGTGGAGACAGCACGCCGGGGCTGCAGGAAGTACACAGCACCAGTCTGGGTGGGGGGACCTGTTTTGCTTGCAGCAGTGGCTTACGGGGCCTAAGTGTTGGCGGTATGACAGCAATCCGCTGGCCAGGCCGGGGGAGGTAGCCAGGAGGTGACCCCATCCAGTCCTTCAGGCCTAACTCCCTGTCTCTTATCTGAACTCAAAGAATAAAAACACATTCCTACCCCTCTTCTCATCCCCAGCCCAACTGGCTGTATTTAGGGAAGATATATATGTCCCAGGGCTGGCAGGACAGGCCCTTAGCAGCTTAGATCTTCAGTACTGATCAGCGCATGGGATTCCAGCCACGATTTCCGACTCAATTCCACAGTGATCCTGGCCTCTGAGGATCTTGAAGAAGCCTGGAAAGCAAATGTTAAGATGCCTTTAAAGTGAAGTGTGCACTAGGTTTCAGCCCTTGCCAACATTCACATTCGTCCCTGGAAGACCTAGAAGGCAGCATGCCAGCTCTGACGTGGTCTCCCACTCGCACCAAAGTGCTCGGTCAGCTTCTACTGTTGGCTCAGCAGCCCACCCCAGCGGTGAGGCTGCTCAAAGCCACTCCCTGTGGACCCCCATCACATGCCGCTGCAGCCTGTGTGGCAGGCAACTAACTGGACAGGCAGAAACGCCTTGAGGTGGCATCCTGTCTGCACCACCCCTCCCAGGCTCAGAGACTGCCCTCCCCAGCCTGGAAACCTGAAGCTTAAGCCAAGCCCTGGACCTTGTGTTTGGAGCTGTACGGGGGCAGGACATGGTGACCAGTGTCCCCGCTCACACCTCAGAGCAGGGAGAGGCCCACCACTCACCGCTGTCTCCCCAGTCAGTGTTCCAGGAGTTGCCCACCAGCCAGTAGGGCGTGCCATCCTCCACTCCCCAGCCCAGGATGCGCACTGCGTGGCCTCCCATCATGTCTCCGGTGACGTGCTGGTACACTCCTGGGACAGGAGACACTCAGACTGAGACCGGGCCGCCCGGCGCCCACGGCTTCCCTGACTCGGCTGGCTGCCCAGCAGGGCCTACGGGGTCCAGAGACCCGAGGACCGCCACCAGGACGAGCCCACCACGCTCCACCAGAAGGTGCCAGGGGGCCTACGACCTCAGGAATTCTTTAAAGCCATTTCTGAAAGCCCAACACACAAACATGTGGAGCAGATGTTAAAACAAGAGACCTACAAAATGTGCTTGAGGGCTGCCTTTAAAACTAGGGTTACCAATTCTAACTTAAGAAATAAATTTAGTGTCAAAATATCAATCCTCTGTTTTACAAATAGGGCTGGCGGGGGCACTCCACGTAAGGAGTCGTTAAAAGGGTCCTGTGGCTCTGGGAGCCCCTTGGAGAGGCAGCAGCGGCAGCCAGTGCCGACTCGGGGAGACCCCGGCTGTGTGCTCAGGCAGGTGGCCAGCCAGGTGACCCTGCTGGTCAACCACTGTCGCACAGAGACACATCCTTCTGACAGGGAGGGCACTGGGCTGAGGACTGCCAGCTTTACGCTCATTTTTTGTGCCAGAATCATCTTCGTTCGTCCAATCCTCGTCCAAGCTGGGAGCGTTGAGCTTTAGACCCAGCGGAGAGTAAGCGAGGCAGCAGCTGTCAGCAGGCTGCCCCTCCGCCCGCACTGGGCTCACCGGGACAAAGGCACAGAAAGGCTCGCTCGGGGCAGACGCACGAAGCCCAGCCCCAGCGGCAACACGCCGGCGAGGCCCCGGGGCCAGGCTCCCAAGGAGGCACCGAGCTGGCTTTGAAGGGGTGAGTAGGAAGCAGCCTCAAAGAAAACCCGGAGGGAGCCGCACGGGCGCGTGCAGGGGTGCGGGCGGAAGAGGGTGCGCGCAGCGAGAGGCCCAGGGTGCGGCCAGCGCTGCCCTCCCTGCCCCGCATCCGAGGCCCCAGCCGAGGCCCTCCCAGGGCCGTGGGCTCCGCACCAGACTTGTAGAGCAGGAAGTCCGAGTACACGGAGAAGGCGGCCTCCACCGGGCCGTTCTTGTAGATCTCCGCCATGATCTCCTTCTCGCTGCTGGAGAGGCTGTAGGAGCTGCATCCTGGCAAAGGGAGGGCGAGGCGGGGGTGAGGCGAGCCGCCCGGCCACCAAGTCCGCGACGGTTAGCGGGGGACGTGGGTGGGGGGACAGGTCAGTGGACTGCGCAGGGTCAGGGAAGGCGCCCCGAGGAGGAGGAACCGGCCCTGGAAGCTCAGGCGGGAGGGCGCGGTGGGCGCAAGGCCCCGGGAAGGCAGAGTGGACGGCGGCCGAGGCCAGGTCACCGCCTGTAAAGGGCAGGGTTTGGGCCCTCCCAACTCTGAGGGCGTGCGACCCGAAGACGGCATTCCTGAGGCTGGTTCCAGGAGGAGACAGGCCCGGCACACCTTGCGGCCATGCACCTGCCCTTCCCTTCCCCACCCCGCTCTCCCTCCGCTGCCCAGGGTAAGGCATTCTGGGCAGCCTGGCCCCACCTCACCATAGTGCTTGTCTTCCTTGTAGGATGGGGTGTAGCCGGGCTCACACATCTTGCTGCACTTGGGGGTGTCCCCCTCCCCCGTGCACGAGGGCCGGGAGCCATTCACGTGGTGCTCACAGGGGGGGATGGAGTAGGGTCTGCAGCCTGGGGGCCACGAGGAGAGGAGGAGTCAGCCAACAGCCCCGGTTGAGGCCCCCTGAAGCCAGGAGGCTGTGGCAGAGGCGATTAGGAGGGCAGGGATCCCCAGGCCTGCCACACCCAGGCGGGCGCCTCTCCCGCTTAGACAGAGCTGCTCACCTTCCCTCCCTCTTAGTCCAGCACCAGCACTCCTGCCCTCAGCCCTCACTTCATAACGGAAAATGAGACATTATTCACTGCTTATAAAATCCATCTACCCAGAGATGAGCTGATGGTGGCACTCACCTATATGAGAGTCGTAGAGGCCCCCGGAAACCAGGCCCTTTTTCGTCCAGAAGTTCCAGGCCGCAGCAGGAAAGCCCCCGTTACAGCTAAGAAGAGAGCCATTCATTAACTTCATTGTGAGAGAAGTTCTGGCTGCTCCCAGACCCCTGCCTGGTGGCCCAAGGCCCCAGAGTGGCTCCTGGACCCACCACGGCCTTCAGGAACTGGCCCAACAGCCAGCAGAAGGCAGGCACCCAGTGTGGGGGGTTCCTTCCTGTGTGACCCATCTGGTGACCCATCCCCCTTAACTGCACATGAGGAAACAGGCCCCAAGGCTCTTACACTTCCTCGTGCAGGAAAAGGGGTCCAGGATGACTAAAAACAGACCTGAGATCAGAACTTCTACCACACACCGTGAGACCGTCTGTGCTGCCCCAGAACCCTCCAGCCACGCCCGGCTGTGGGCTCCAGGGCCCGCCTTGACCCTCCCCGGGCCCGCGTGCCGTCTCAGCAGAGGGCAGCCCTCGGACCTGGGGGCCGCAGCCCAGCTCTGCACTGCCATTCCCGGGGCGCAGGCTCCCCAGTGGGAGATGCTGCCTCAGACTCACCCATCCCCACACTGGTCACCGCAGCAGGTCAGCAAGTCCTCGGCGGACACCTCCACGTTGACACGCCCGCTGGTGCGGACACAGATCCGGTCAGAAATGGCTTCCACAGCCCCAAATGCCTGCAGGAGAAGCCCCGCCTGGTGAGCTACCCCGAGCGAGGGCCCCCAGCCGTCACCCTGGAGGACCACAGCAGGCCCCTGACCTGCCTGGTGGCCAGTCTCTCCCGAGGTCAGGTGGGTTCCTGGCGCCCAGGCTTAGTTTTAAAGCAAGAGGCCAACCTTCCTACAACCTCAGAAATGAACACCCTGATCATTTTTCTGAAACTTGTGGGTTTTGGTTTTTAACATAAAAACACAGTTGACACAAAGGACAAATACTGTATGGTTTCGCTTACACGAGGTACCCAGAGACAGAAAGAAGGGTGGCTGTCAGGGTGGGGGAGGGGAACGGGGATCGTGTTTCATGGAGACGGAGTTTCCATCTCACGAGATGATGGGTTCTGCGGATGGATGGGTGATGGGTGCACAGCAACGCGGGCACACTCGATGCCACTGGGCTGACCACTCAGCTGCGATCCGGATGGTCACGTCCGGGTTGTATGTATTTCAGCACAGTTAAAATCAGGACAGCTCACTGATACAGACGGGACGCTTCTTCCCAAATGAAGCACAATTGGGATCAGAACTGGGGTCTTTGTGGATGGCCTGGGACAGCGCATCCAAGGGAAACAAAACGTCCTAACCTGCACTCAAGATACTGCAGCTCTGCACCCAGCCCTCGTGCTCACACCTGGCCACAGGGCCTTTGTGATTTCTGTGCTGAGGGACATGGACGCTCAGCTCTAGGCCATGTCGCAGCAGGGCCGACACGCCCCGCCATCGCTCCAGCCCGTCCCGGGAGCAGGGCCTCACCCAGCAGGAGCCGCAGGAGCCCTGGTCTCGGATCTCTTTGATGGTCGGGCAGTTCGGCCACTGTTCCCGGGCATCGAAGTTTTCAGGCAGAACCATGTCCTCCGCCAGCCAAACTCTGGATGAAGGAAGCTCTCCGTTACAAGCTCCTACCTTACGACCCACCCCCATCCCTGCACAGGCCAGCTGATGACAGACAGGCTGTTACAGGGAAGGATGCGGCATAAGGACACGCGGACGAGGACGTCGGCAGGGTGACCCCTGGGATCTCAGAGACAAACCAAACCAAACCAGTCCTAAGGCTCAACATGACTTAGTCCCTATGCTTCTTTCTAGACTGATTTCATGGGTATTTTTCAAAAGTTTTAGCCACGGGGCCTAGATATCTGTTTCTTGCTTCCCCCTTACCCCCACCCCAGGTACCTCATGTCATTTTTAGTATCTGCACCGTTGGGTGGTACCCAATAACTATACCACCCGCACAGTATTTCTAATGCTTCCTATAGGGGTAATACTTATGTGAAAAGGTCCACTGCAGAGTTCCCTAGAAAAATAAAACATGACTGGCAGATCATATAGCTTTTCTCAGATTTTCCCTAAATTACTCATGTGTGGTCCACCCAGATTCTGGAGACCTGGACCAGAGGCCCTTCCCAGGATGCAGCACCTGGTCCTCCCACGGCAGGAGTGGGGCTGTTGCTGAGCCAGCACCGGGCAGAGCCCTGCCGGGCTGGGGCTGGGGCTGGGCCTACAGGCACCAGGGCGGCCTTCTCCTCCCTCCCGCCCGCAGGCCGGCCGGGCGCAGGTGCTCACCTCTGCGGCAGCTTGGGCCCGCCCAGCACGGTGCCACACAGCCTCTTCAGGTAGCTCAAGTCCACGTTGCGGAAGTTGTGTCCGGCCTAGGAGAGAGCAGGTTTCCCGGGTGGGGTGGGCGCTGGGGCTCTGCACACCCACCGGGACAAGGCCAGGGGCACAGACTGGTCCCTATGTTCCTAAAATTCTTCTGCTGAAACGAACACCCACTGGGATGGATCAGGAGATGGGGCCTTTGGGAGGTGCTAAGGGCACAGAGGGATGGTACCCTCCTAAAAGACACCCCGCACAGCTAGCTTGGCCCTCCTGCCCATCAAGGACAACGAGAAGGCATCCATCCACACCGGGGAAGGAGCCCTCACCAGAACCCAACGTGCTGGCACCAACCTTGTCCTCACAGCCTCCAGAACTCCAGAAGCCGCCCAATCTATGTTATTTTGTTATGACAGTCTGGGCTCAAAGCAGGCCAGGAGCCCAGGGTGACCACCCACACACAGGTAAGGACACAGAGCAGTGGGCGGCTCCTCTGACCCGCTACCGTTTGCTGAGACCAAGAGACCCTCCCCAGCCCTGACATGGCTCATTCCCCACTCCCCGGTCCCCACAGTCCTGGCCTCAGGCCTGGGCTGAGTCAAGAAGCTGCTGGCACTGAGGAGCTGCAACAGTGGGGCTCTCTGTGTCTACCTGGTTGTGGAAACTTCGAAAGCTCACTCATCCCCATGCACACTCACACGCATGGGCAACACATGCAGGGAAGTGGGCGGGGGGTGGTCGGCATGGCCCTCAGTGGCCGTGAATATGACCAGGATCAGCTGCCCAAGAGATAGTCCTGTGGGCCCAGCTGCGGCTGCCTCCCTCAGAAGTCAGGGTCACAGACGCACACTCAGAAGGGGCACACGCACAGTGCCCCACAGCCCACCTTCCATGTGGTGTTACGTTTGTTAACATAGTTGACCAGCTCGTCTGCCAGGGTCTGGAAATCTGGCCTGCTCCAGGCACTGGTCAGCATCACCAGGCAGCTCAGAGCAGGCAAGAACTGCCACATTTTGGAAGCTGGATCCTAGATTCACCTAGAAAGAGAAGGACACAGGACATCAGGATGCTTCTCACTCAGTTCAAGCCCTGTACACACAAGGTGGCATCTCAGGCAGTTCGCTGAGGGCCAGGAACAACCCAATGGTCAGAAGATACAAGTTCTGGGCCTGGCGCTGCTACGTGTCACCCCCTGTTCCTCAGATTCCTTTTCTCTGAATTCTGGGTGTGGTGGCGGAGAACCTCCAAGGATCTGCAGGCTCCCAGGCCTCACCTCAAAGGCCCAACCTGTCCCTGCAGCACCTGGGACACAGCATGGACTGAATGTTTGTGTCCCCCAAAACTCATGCTGAGGTCTTACCCCCCAAGGCGATGGACAGTATCAGGAGGCGGGCCTGTAGGAAGTGAGCAGGTCATGAGGGTGGGGGGTCTCACTGCCCTCGTACTACGGAGACCCAGAGAGCTCCCTTATCCCTCCACCAGGGGAGGACATGGCAAGAAGCCTGTGGCCCGGAAAGCAGCCCTCTCCAGACCCTGGCCCTAGACATGCAGCCTCCAGACCTGAGAGAAGTAAGTTTGTTTGGAAGCCATCCGGTCTGAGCTATCCTGTTGCAGCAGCCTGAATGGGCTGGGCGCCTGCAGCAAGAAGGCCAGGGGCTGCTACACGCAGCAAGGCCCCCAAGCGGCTGCGTCTCCAGGGCTGTCTGCTCAGTGTTCAGCCCCAGCCGCTGCTGTTCCCCGGGTGGTTTGTGGCCCCACCTATCTTGTGAGCTGTGAGGATGGGGCGAGACTGACATGGGCCATGGCACCCCCGACAAGTGTGCCCTAAATGGGCAAATACACCCAGATACTCAGGCTGACAAGCCCAGTGCCCTCTCCATTACTGCCAACTGCCTCTCCGGGGAGCTGTGCAACCACGCAGGAGGCGCTCCCCGAGTCAGTGCTCTCAAAGGGCGAGCAGTCCGCCGCGACTCCGGCCCAAGGTGAGGGATACCGGGACAAGAAGAGTGCATTAGAATATACATCATGAGCCCCATTCTGGACACAAGCACAAGCCAGTTAAGCCTGCGCAGCCGGCCAGCTCTGCCAGGGAGGCTTGAGCCTCCTGGGACCTCTGGTTCTTCCAGCAGCCCGGGCGCTGCTCCTGATTACGGAGGTGGAGCTTCCCAGAAGGGAAACAGCACGTCACAACCCCCGTCTGCAGACCGGGAACTGGCTTGCGAGTCAGGAGACCCACAATTCCCACCCTGCCTCTGAATCATGCTTTCAGAAATGTGTCCTGGGTGCCGCGCCACCATGAGCCTCGTGAGACAGCCGTGTGGTGGGGAGCGTGTGTGCGCGTGTGAATCTCCCGTCCCCGGCCTCACGCCCTTACACAGCGGGCTCTGAACTAACCCATCTCTTCACTGGTCACAGGCCACTGCAGGCGAGGTGAAGAGGACGCAGGTGACAGTGCTGAACACTGGCCCCCGCACAGTGATTTACATTTGAGGGGAAATTGAAATGGTTGCTCATGCAACAATGAATCTGGAAGAATAAATGTGTGAGGCCATGACCCTCTGCGGTGGTAAACGTACTATAAAACCCCCGGGGTGATGCTGGCCCAGGAACAGTGTGATCAACAAGACAGACCATTGCGAAGCATGTGCCGTGTGGGAACGCAGAGTATGTGGTGAGGAGGCGGCTCTTTTCAGCAGGTGCTGCTTGCACAACTGGCTCTGCATTTTGCAGGCAAAAAGGTGTTTAATCTTTACACTTGATTCCTCACACACACAAAGTGCTACGTGGAACAGGGATCTTGGGTAAAAACATGATCTGTATGAAGAAAATAACTGTACACTTAAAAATGTGACACTGGAGTGATGAATACACAAGATTGACATAATACAGAACCTTACAAGGAAAATGATTATATGGAAACAGAGCTTCTGTTCAAGAAAAACAAAATAAAAAGTGACAGACAAAAAGTGACAAGTCCTTAAGTGTACTTACTTAAGGCTTCATTTCCAAAGGGCTCTTAAAAAATCAGAATATAAACAGAATAGAAAAGGACATATACTGTGAATTTGCAAAAACAGAACCATAAGCAGCCAAGAAAGATACTAAAAGACAACCGACCACTGGATAATACTGATAAAATTAAGGAGATATTTATCTCATATCACAAAGGCAGGGCAGTTTGGACAGCTGCCGGCAGGAGTGAGCTGTGGGGACACAGGCACGACTGGCGGGGAATGCCTGGGGCAGGGGTCTCAGAGGGTGACCTGGCCTCTATCAGTTTTGCCATCTGCATGCCCTCTTGACTCAGTAACTTGACATTTAGAAATTTATCCTCCTAGCCTCACAATGCTGAGATACAGGTACCCGGATGTTCACTGATCTTTATATTAGCAAAAGACCAGAAACAAAGTGTCTAATTACAGTAACTGGTAAGTTATGGAAATGAGTAAATAGGATACAAAGAAGCCACTAAGAAATGAACCAGTGGAAGTGAATCATATTGTGCTGATAAGTAAAAATGCCCAAGATACACAGTAAGTGAACAAAAGCGGCTAGCAGGTGAGTCATGGTAAGCGTGTGAGCCCTTTAAACATGTGTCTTCCTGTCACCATGTGTGAAACATCAAGAAAAACACAGTATGGAACTGCAGCAGGACACCTGTTTTCATTACACATTCTTACAAAACATGACCACGTTACTGTATCTGCAGTGAGGTTACTGGAGGACAGTCACTGGCACACCGAAGACCCCGGCCCCAGGCGACGGAGCGCTTACTGTCCTGAGCCCCCAAGCGCCCTTCCATTCGGCGACCCCGTCACCACCGAGGCCTCATCCCTAGTGAGTTTCTGCTCAGAACACTCAACCTTCCCGGTAACTCGTGGGGAGGCGGCCACCCACGTGATGCTCTGTCAGGGACCGACAGGTCCTCCAAACCTCAGGTAATGCCCGCTGCGCCTCACAGGGCAGAAGGGCAAGGGAACACTGGGCCTCCTTACCATGTTTTCTGGGCACAGAAGCTAAACAGTCGGGTCTCCTTCAATCCACACCCTCTGCCTGACACTTGGCATCTTCACATTTTTCCAAGACAGAGAACCTGGTGCTGAGAAACACCGGAGTGTGTGCTCCCTGCACGCGGCATTCAGAGCACGCCAGCAGGTCAGCCTGGCTGCAGGCCCGCTAGGTTCACACCTGGAAGGGCTGTTGTGCTCGGCTTTCACTGCGGCCCATCCAGAGTTACGTGAATGTGGCTGGGTCCTCAGGACACCTGACACAGTCGGGGTAGAGTGCTCCCTCCATCAAATACCAGTGTCCCAGGGCCCCCGGGGGCTAAGCCCCGCTCTGAGATGCTACCTCAGAGGCACTTCGGCGGCGACTCAGTTCTTAAACAGGGTCTCTCTGGGTTTTGTGGTGGCAGAAAACCCAGGCTGGGCCTCTGGGAAGCCCTACGGCCCCGCACCGGCAACTCCGGGGTGCGCCAGGCCTGAGGCCTGCCAGGTCCCTGCGCTACCGCACCGGTGGCCAGGCCTTCGTGTGCCCCTGCTTCTCTTCCTTCAGCTCCACAGGCCGTGCGTCCCGCCAGCTTCACTGTCGCTGCCCATTCCCTGCCCAGGGCAGGGCCAGGGCCATGCACCCTGCCCCGGGAGCCCAGAGCTGCAGCTCAGTAGGAACCACCCACCCTGGTCCCGTCTGGACTGCCGCTTGGGGAGCTCCCCTTTTAGCCCCGAGGCCGGGGCCCCGCAGGGCCGAAGCCCTGGGTTTGGGTCCCAGCTTTCCCACCTACTAGCTCTTCTTCCCCACCCCCAGGCAGTGGCCTTTACTTGACTGAGCCGCAGTTTCACCACCTGTAAACTAACCATCCATTTCTCCAGGAGGAGGTCCGGAGGGGAATGAGGGCACGGTGCCTGCTGTCTAGGAGGGCAATCTACCTGGCGAGTGAGAATGCTCACTGGGCGCCCTCGATTTCCGGGTCCCACCACCCCACTTCTTCCCTTTTCTCTCCCCACGTCCAGTGGAGCCGGGTAACTCCAGCTCCCTCCACGTTCGTCCACAATACTTCACATCACAAAGCAGTCTGAGTTAAAATCGAGGTTTGAATCTCAACCAACCTCCAAATGGGCTTTAATCTGAGGGTCCTGAGACTCCAAAGAATATGAAGTCAAATTCCTCCTCCCACTAAGTGCAGAGACTCCCTGAGGACAGCAGTTTCCTTCTGATGGATACCGACGGCCTTTCCTCCAGAGGCACACAGATCACGGCTGGGCGGGCAGCTGTGTGCCCACGAGTGGCCGCGACCCACGGCCTCAGCACCAAACAGGACGACCAGCTTTCACTTCCCCTCTTTCGGGCACATGCTTCATTTCTCAGTTCTTTGTTTTTGTCCATTTGGTTGGTTGGTTTTTTTTAATCTCAGTAGAGGATGAACTGAAAGTCTTCAGAGGGAAGAGGGCCCACGGGACAGGCACACTCCAGGGTCACCTGCCTCCCGTTTGGGGTGTGGACTGGGGGGGGAAGGCTGTGGGAAGTTCCCTCCAGCCCTGGGTCAGCCGACTTCCCAGCAGGGCCTGGAGTTGTCCTACACCCCTCCGCCCCTTTTCCCAGGGGCAGAAGGATGGGCTCTGTCACTTCTTTCCTCTCTGAACCCCTCCAGCACTGAATGGCGTATGTGAAGCACAGCCCACACTGCCCTGCAGAATGTTGGCCTGTACAGACACGGGCCTGTGGCCCCATGAGCCCATCAGCCGCACCCCACAGCAGAACCAGTCCTGAGGCTACCGGACGGCCACCCCTGGGATCCATGTGGACATTGGAGCTCTGGAAGGAGACAGACTGAACATGGGAGAAAAGCAGACGCCCTGTCGCATGAGGGCTGACATCCCTGAGGATGAATCAGCTTTGACTCCTTCCAAGCTTGATTTTTTAATAAAAGCCTTCATGTAAGGTCACAGAGCCCTCAGGTAGACTGGATTCTAAATCTGTACCGAGTCTAAGGAGACAGGACAGGTACACCTGAACACCATCACAGAGGCCAGCTGCCGTCCTCTGGCTATGACAGAAAGAGATGATGAATGTCCAGCCACACACGGGTCTCCACAGGGGCTTTGCTCTTCCCTGCCTGCCGCTGCTGTTCACATACTGCGGCCACGTTTCACTGGAGGCACTAGAGAATCAAAACACCGAGTGCCTGCGTTTTCCCAAGAGCCATGAAGTAAGGCTCTGCCTTACATATCACAGAGTGGCTACAGGCTGGGGGTGCTGGGAAAGTGGGAGGGCTGTGGAGAGGCAGCCGGCCTTACCAGAGAACCTGTCAGTTTCTCTCTCTCCCACAAAAACTTGTTTTGCCTCTGGCCATCAAAGCTTCAGCCATCTAAGTACACCCACACAACAAAACTAGGCACTAGACACGCCTTCATTTCCCCAAACTTCAACTTGCCCAGTTACTCCTCAAAGCTGACGGCTCTGTGGCAGCTGATGGCAGTGCCTTGACCTGCAATGCGCCTGGTCAACCTGAAGACGGCCCAGGACCTTTCCTCTGTGAGCTTGACCAGTCGTGACGGCTCTCTTGGGCTTTGTATCTTTGCTCCTTATGGAAACGTGTTTAACTTCTTGGCTTTTAATGTTTAAATTAGAAAATGACCAAGAAGGGGAGCTCCTAGTCATCATCTGTCACCCTGAAGCTGTGAAGAGGGACAGGGATCAGTTGGTGTCTTCCCCCCAAGCCGGGGCCCTGCAGGTTAGTGACCTGGAGAGGCATCCTCAGCGGCCGGTCCCCGCAGGGGCTGCTGCCGAGCCAGGCAGGCCTGAGGGAAGGTGAAGGCGCTGCCTGCCTCAACCACCAAAACCCTTCAGGCCCCTCATGGTACTGCTGCCCATCAGTCTAAAATAAGCGACTCATTCCCAGCAGGTCAGCAGGGCTGGTCTACTCAAGCTGCTCCCCCACCGTGCTCACAAACGGACCTCTGCGGCTCATCGGCCGCAGCAGCCACACCGTGCAAAGAGAACACTACTAGCCCCGTGGCTTGCAACAGTGGACCCCAGGAAGGCCCTCAGCAGTCAAAAAACCATACTGTTGAGTAGTAAGACAGTGAACGTTCTGGAAGCTTTTGCTCACTGGCTCTGACACGGACTTACTGAGATGCTGAAGGGGGCACCACATCCCCTGTCCCAGTTTCTAAGATGAACTCCCTGGATTCTGATGAACTTTGGACTTCTTTATAAGAGCTTTTAGAAATCTTTGGAGACTCACGTGAGGTCAAGGGTTCCGGGCCTCTCCAACCCACAGCAGCACAGCAGCCCCCTAACTCGATTCCAGGCTGGGTTTCACCCCCCTGCCAGCTGAGTACTGGCGTGGCGGATTCACACCAACACGATAAAAGAAAGCAACCGAAAGGCCTCACCTCTCTGGCTTGGTCCTGGTTCGCCCTCCTGCCTTCCGCCTTTGAACACTTTCTTACTTTACAGAACCACAAAATGCCCCAGACCCATCTTGGAAGGGATGCTCACACGGCTACTGGAGATGGGAGATGCTCTTTTTCAAAGTGCCTCCCACACAGCCTGGCTCGGGCAGCCCATGCAACTACCTTACCGCTCTCTCCCTCACAGGCCAGTTAGCTCCGGCTGGCCCAGCGTAATTCTTTTTATCACTAAAAGTATCCCAGTAGGGATGAAAGAGTACCCCCCTATTATTAGGGACAAGCTCTCAAATGATGATTTCTTCTGCTATCTGTACCACCAGAACAAAGCGCCCCCCACACACCTACCTGCAGGGTCTGGTAGAATCTCTAAAATGAGTGGTGGACGGCTCCCAGCTGATGTTGGACAATGTCGCAACTTGAGCAGCAGAAGCCCTTGGCTGGCATCACCCTCTCAGGTCTTGCACAAGTGCAGAAGCCTCATGACTTGTGTACATGTAAGCACATGCTGCCCAAGTCCAGAAGCTGTAGAGCAGCCCGCCCCTGGGACTCCTGGCAGAATATTAGGGTGTCCCCAGAGTGCTCTCTGCTGGAGCAGCTTGCCATCTGGGTGGTGTCTGTCCCATGCTCCCCGACAGCCTTGCTGGTGACTCCAGGCTATCTTGAACCAGTAATGTTGGAAAAGCACCTTTGGTCTTGTATAAAGCTTTGTTTCACAAACAAAGGAAACTGGTGCTTGAGAAAAAAAAAAACCACACCCTGAATGGTACACCTGAGTAGGGATGGAGAATTTGTCGAAAGACCAGATTCTAGGAGATATTCCAGCACAATGATCTGAGTGACCCCTGTCAGGCCATAAACTGGCAGTGCCTCGGTTTTCACATCTGTAAATTGGGAGAGTCAGACTGCCAACACTCAAAACCCACAGGCACGCATCCTGAAAGTGAAATTAGAAAACAGAAAAACCTAATCACAGAGAAGTCCGGACCTAGGTTAGGGTTTGAAGAAATCTTTGTAGGTTCAGCTGTTCGCAAACACATTAAAGCCCACAAATGCTCTCACTGATCAACAACAAAACAGAAAAACTTCACTAATCAATGATTTCCTAGAGCAAGGAGTTAAATCTGATTTCCTAGTCATGAAAATTAAAACAGAGACACCAGACTGGCAAAAATTAAGTCTGGTGATTACCTAGTGGTGATAACTGAAGAACAAGGATGCGCAGCACAGCTAGGAGGACCCGCTGTCAAACCCTGGCGCGCAGCACTGTCAGCATCCAGCAAAATGGCATACGGGCACGCCTGACGACCCAGCAATTAACTCAACTTCTGCTTTTGCCCTAAAGAAACCCTTGCGAGTGTCTGAGAGATACAGTATTTACTGTAGCACTGTGAGCAACAGTGAAAAGGCAAAGCACCTAACTGTCCGTCAGGATAAGGCACTGCATTTAAGATGAATGAGCTAGGTCTGTATGGACCAACATAAATAAATCCCATCAACAGGGATGCAAAAGGAGACACGCAGTAACTAAACTTCTATCAATTTTAATCACATGGCTCACAGATTGATACCAAGTATTAAAAGCACCTCGGAAAAGGTGCAAGGGAATCATAAAGAACAGAGCAGAGAGGAGCCACACTCCTTAGAAAGGCAAGAAGTAGGCACGGGAGCAAAAGACATTTGCAGAGCAAAGAAGCTGAAACCAGCTGTCTGCAAAGGGGAGCTGTGAACAAGAGGGACGTCCCCTGCAGACCCCACTGGAGCCTGAGACTTGGAGGCCTCAGGTGCTGGGGAAAGGGGGTGAGGTTGGGGCTCGAGGTTAAAAAGGGATTAAAGTCGAAATATGGAACCCGTGGAGCTCTAGACGGGCACTCTACCCAACCACGGGGTGACGGGGAACATCGGCACCATGGATGACCCCGGGTTTACCTCCCACGCTCCCTTTAAAGGTGCTCCTGGGTGGGTGCTGAGCATAAATCAAGACAGATGACATGGACCAGGTGTAGAATGCTGTTTCTGATATCCGGGAAGTACAATACACACCTTACGGGCCTCACCTAGACTCACAGGCTTACCATCAACACCGCTGTTGTTCTACATGTGAGGCTGACCCACATGAAAGCGCGGATTTTGAGCCTTCTTGACCTACAGAAGTTCCCATTTCATAGAGTTCAAGCTCATGTCATTTGTAACTTTCCTTATGCCAAACTATCAAAAATGGGTGGCAGGCAGAGGGCTCAGCCCAGGACAGAGGCATTCTACACAACCACACATGAGCACATGTAAGAACCACGCAGACAGGTGTTCCCAGGCCCTGGAAGCGCTCTCCTTTACCACTCAACCCAACTGCCAACAGTAATACAAAATATTTCCTGCCCCTAAAATGTGTGCAACTTCCTTCTCCAGCTCCCAGGCCCCGCAGCTGGAAAGAAGCGGCAGTTTACAAGGGCCTCAGTTCAAGCGCCTGAGTCAGCAGCACCCGGGCATCCACCCTGGAGCCGAAGGGCTGCCACCCTCACCGCCCTGACCAGTTTGGCCACAGGATCAGGAGAAGTCACTGGAGAGTGGGCTGCCTCTGACCTGTGCCGTCTCTCCTGGGCCTGTGAAGCCCCCAGACTAGGGACCTCAGTGGTCCCCCTACTCTGGGACAAATGCCCAAAAAAGGCTGGAGGGGTGCACTGGATGAGTTTATCTAGCCAGGTAGAGGGATTTGGGGCCGGGCTACGATCCTCCTTGCACCACCCTGCTGGCTGGCCTCCCCTGAGCCTGGAGAAGGGGGTGACCCAGACTCGCTGAGGAGTCAAATCTGACTCACATCTGCCTGAACTACTTGCTGAACCCCCAAAGTCAGTTACCCCGCACTGCTCCCCAGATGCTCTGACAGTAGTAACCCAACGAGGGGGCAGTGCCCCTGGGCCTCTGCCCTGCTTTCCACTCTCCCCACCCCAACCCCGAGCCCAAAGCACTGTCCCCCTCCTAGGACAGTCAAGGCGGAGGGGTGACATCCTCTTCTCGAAAACCTCCCAGGGAGAGGGGCCTGGGGCGCCCAGGCCCCACGCGGCCCCCTCTCCCCCGTTCCTCCCCGTCTGCGCCCTGACTTCCGGCGACTCCACCCCGTTCCAGGTCTCGGGGGTTCCGGCATGTCTCCTGGGCTGCCGGGAATCGTGCGTGGTTGTGCGCAGAAAGCTGCCCAGGCCAACCCCTAAGAAAACACTGAAAATGATGACCGACGGATACGACTAGGTCAGCAATCTGGGAGGGAACCGAGGCCCAGAAGCTCACAGCGGGGGGAGAGCCCGATTCCAGCCCGAGCCGCCGGGGCCGGGCCGCGCTCCATCCGCGCAGGCTCCTCCCCCCGGCCTGCCGCCCTCCGGCCCCGGCCCCGGCCCCGGCGGGTAGCGGGGGGCCTGCGGACCCGGCCGCGTCACCCAGAGCCGGGGGGCGCCGCGATCCCCGCCGGGGCGGAGGGACGGGGGACGGGGGTGCCCGCAGGCCGACGGCGGGGCGGCTTTTGCTGTTCTCACCGCGGCGGCGCTCAGGACTGCGCAGGCTGCCACCTCTGCTCGGCCGCTGCGACACCTTCCGCCGGCCGCAAGGACGCCGCGGAAGCCCGAGCCTGGGCCTGGCGGGGACGCCGGGGCCCGGTCCCCACCCTCCGCGAGGCCACTCCCGCCGTAGCGCCGCCCGCCGCGCTCACTCACCGGGCTTGCGGAGAGCCTGGCCTGCGGCCTGCAGCCTGCGAGCGCGCCCCTCCGCCGGTGCCTGAGCGCAGCGGCGGCTGTCGGGCCGCCCCGCCTATGTACCCCGCGCCGCCCCGCCTCCCGATTGCACGTGACCGCCCCGGCGCCCCGCCCCCCGCAGCCCCTCCCCCGCTCCCGAGCGCGCCCCGCCCCCATCCACGCCACTCCGGCACCCCCACCGGCCCCGCGCCCCACCGCTGCTCCAGGAGATCCCGCTGGTGGGCGCTTGGCTCCTGACCCTGCGGACTGGGGCCTGTGGGGAGCTGCAAGGAGCTAAGGTGGCCCTCGGGGCCTCCACCCAGATTAGAAACTCCCAGGGGCCACGGCTGCCCCCGACGTAGTGCATTCAAAACCCTTGGAGCCCTGCTTGGGAGAGAGCAAACCGTCCCTTCATTCGTTCATTCATTCAGGAACCACTGCCGGAATTAGGGGTATCAGGACAGCCGATCTCCCAGAAGAGCCTCTTCTTACCTTAATATTCTGAGAACGTGCCTACAAGATATGCCAGCCATGTAATAATAAAAAAATTAGCTATTAGCACAATAAAAAAAATCAGTAGCTATTACCACTGAGTACGAACTAAAGGAACTGCGAGAGGATTTCTGTAGAGAAGGAACTTGGAGGAAATCTGGAAGAGGCTGCCAGAAGGCCCGTCCCAAAGGCAAACACAGCAGGCACCCAGGTCTCCGTGGAGTTGTGTGGTAGAACGCCTAGAGGCGGATGGGTATGGTGGGGTGGTTCATGAGACCCCACTCCCTCCCGCCCACACCGCCAGGAACCTCCAGGTGTCTCTTGACAACCCTGTGGATAGGTACAATCCCAATTTTACTCAAGAGGCTTAGGAAATGGGCATCGTATTCAGGTGTTTCTGGTTAAAAAAAAAAAAAAATAGGTCAGGCCAACATCAAGAGGCCCGGGCTGCTATCTGCTGCTTCTTGCAGAAGGGTGGCCGTCCGCTGTCACATAGCCCCTGTCCCTGCCAGGGCCCTTCAGAGAGCTGTCTGGACACATGCACTTGAACCTGTGTGGTCCCAGGTAAGGAGAAGAGTGGAAGGAAGGAAGTCTCAGAGTCCGGACACAGTAACTAGACCCTTGACTGGGTGGGAGAGGTGCCTAAGGAACGTAATGGCAACCGTGGGAAGAAGGCTGGAAACCAAAATGGTCCTGGCTTTGCGCCCACTCCAGCCGTGTCCTGAGAACCATGACCTCTCAGTGTTTTGACCTGTCACCTTCCGCATGGGTGTCAACCATTTTCAAATTCCATAATGGGGCTCATCAGAAGAAACAGTCCGAGAGGCCACGCACAGAGCCACGGTGCATCTTTTCTCATCTTTGTAGCATCATATGAGGAGTGCTGAGTACTTTAAGTGAACTACCTCGATTTTAGATAATTTTGAATGGGTGCCATTATAGAGGTAGAACCTGATGTAGAGCAGGAACATGGGATGAGCATTGTGAATTTTTCTGCTTATGATGAAAAATGCCGAGATATCAGTAGTATAGTAAGAATAGGAGGAGCTCCATCTTGAGACTGAGCTTCCATTTTAAAATCAGGAAGTGAGGCGGTAAGATTCCTAACATATTTTGCGGCGATTAGCCAATAACGTAGGCAGGGCAGGCAGTCCTAATGGTACTGCTTGAGGGTGACCGTTATCTTGGAGAAGAACAGGATCAATACATTTCTTGTGTTAAGTTTATCTTACAAAATATCTAGAGGACAAACTACACTTGGTGATACAATGTGTCTCAGCGGAGTGAGACATCATGAGATCATGAGATCACGTGTGGAGCCTACATTCCCCAGGCCCTTTGTGCCATTCTTGAAATCCTTAAAAGACATGAATCCTAAGTCTTTAAGGGTGCCTCCTCTCTGAGGCTGCCCGCATCCACTTTTCTTTGAATGTGTACTTTGCCTTAAAGCCTTCTTGCTGCTCAACTTACTACATTGTGTCTCTGTGCTCTTCCAAGCCTCTTGGGAGGCTGATAAGAGATCCCTTTTCCCAGTCGTAAGCATCTTTGTTACTTTGCTGTTTCATTCACTTTTCTAAACTTAAGCACCAGTCTTCAGTTTCTCTGTTCTACTTCAGACAAGTAGGGAAGGGCTGCTGAGAGCTCTGATTTGGGCTTGAAAGTTCTGTCCTCTGGGTGTCCTGGGGGGGAACTACTGCTGTAGGATCATGCTCTTCAGTAGCCTGCCTGAAAATCTGCTTTCTTTGCTTTGGGGAAGTTCTCAGAACATCATCTCACTCCATCCAGTGCTCCATTGTTCCCCCAAATCCTGGGGTGGTAGTAGTTCCCGCACTGCACAGATTCAAGCAGACACCGGATGCCAAGTGACCCTGGCTCAGGAGCTGGCAAGGGATTTTTCCTCTGCTGAGCAGGAGTTCAATGAGCTTTGCTCTCCTCCCTCTGCGCCTCCTTGCGCTGTACTGCCCGCAGGGCTGCTGCCATTCACTTCCACTCTAGCTTTAATGAATTTCTTCCTTTCCTACACTCGTCTGAACTTGTTTGAGAATTCTTTCTCCATCAGAGTCAAGAACTCTCCCCCATCCACGTTAAACTTTCACCTAGTGCACAGGGAAAGACCTCCCCAGACGCAGCTGCCTGGCAACAAAACCACTTTGGAAATAAAAGAAAAATAAACAGCTACTACTAGAGTAGAATTTAACCCTTTCTGGGGGTACCCAGAAAAGCTTCGTAGAGAAAGAAACACACCATAGAATTGACTTATTTATTTTCCTCACTGGATCTTACACTCCATGAGGACAAGAATTTTTGCCTGGGTTCCCTCTACATCCCCAGAGCATAATAGAGTGGTTAGCACATAGTAGAGAATTAATAAATACTTACTGAGTGGGTGTATAAATTAATAAAGTGGGCCTTGAAGATTGAGGAGAATTTTTATTAACCTGCGAGGTTTGGGGCCAGGGGCTCAGGGAATAGCCTTCAGAATTTAGAAAAAGGCCTTGGCCTATGTGTGCGGAAGCTGTTTCCCTGCTGAGCTTCTGGAAGAGAGGCCTGGGTATATATATATACCCAAAGGAGATGAAAACATATGTCTTCACAAAAACTTGTGCTTGAATGTTGATTGCAGCATTATTCACAGGAACTGAAAAGCAGAAACAACCCAATGTCCTTCCACATGCAAGAAAATGGAAAAAAGCATCTTTGCTGGATGGAAAATTATTCATGGAAAGCAATAAAATACTGTTACATGCTTACAACATGGCTACACCTACAAAGTATTTATACTAAGTGAAAGAAGCCAGACACAAAAGTCACATATTATATGATTGTAACTCTGGGGAAAGGAAATCCCAGGACAAAATACCTCTAAAACTGAAATCAGTCAAAGGGAGAAATAAAGTTTAAAACCCATTTATCGCTTACAAACTGCAGCCCGGGGCCGTCTCTCTTTCCTGCTCAGGCAGAAGCCCCCCGCCTGCCTAACCTCTCTGGTTCAGATAAGCTCTGGGTTGCCCAGATAATGTCTCCACCCCTGAGGAATGCCTGTTGATATGCAAATGCACCAATGCCAGGTGAGATATTCTGGAAATATTACAATTTTACCCACAGTGATTCTGTTTATGTGAAATGTCCAGAATAGGCAAATTTATATAGCTAGAAAGTAGATTAAAGTTTGCCTTGGACTGGGGCAAGGGGTGGGGGTGGATAGGAGATTTAGGAGATAAGAGCTAAAAGGTATGGGATTTCTTTCTGAAGTCTGTAACTCCGGGAGGTGGGAAATCCCGAGGCAAAATATCTTTGAAACTGAAATCAGTCAAAAGGAGAAATAAAGTGGGAGAAACCGGCTTATTTCTTACAAGCAGTCCACTTCTCTCCAGTGTCTCTCACAACCCGGCTGCAGAAGCAGCAGCGCTGATCCAACATCTCCAGTCCAGACAAGCTCTTGCTTTGCCCCTGTAACTACCTATTGATACGGAGATGGACGCTTCTCTCCATCCCTTGGGAAAACCAGTTGATGCGGAGATGCGCTAAGGCTCGGCGAGAGATTCTGGAAAAACTGCGATTTTACCCACAGCCCTTGTGACAGTACCTTTTTGCTGATGCCGGCCAGAAAATTCCTGACCACATTTCTCGGGGAGGTTGTAACTGCAGTTAGGCTGGGTTTTAAGCCTAGGTTTGCTGAACTGGTCTGTCAGAACTGTCCCCATGCTGGGCCTGTGGTCTTCTTTTTATCTGTATAAAGCATTAATCCTACACTTTAAATGGATGAATATTGTGTTATGTCAGTTGTATCTCAAATAAACCTATTACCGAAAAAAAAAAAAGAGAGAGAGAAAGGGTTGATCAGGGAAGTTCTGGAAAGGGCTGAAGGAGAAATAACCTTGTTGTTTTGGCTGTCCTTTAAGAAGTCCCTTTTCTGAAGAAACGCCTGGTTATCTTTTCCCTTATTTGTAAACACTTGTAAGTGTGTTTCCCTCTGACTTCTTTCTGCCTGCTTCTAAATCCCAGCGAGTTAGACTGGGTGTTGAAGATTTTTAATTGAGGGTCTGTTGATAATGAGTGGGTTCTTGAGTGGCTGACTGTGGCGTCTGATGGCTTTGACGGAGGCCAGTTCTTTCTCCCCCGGGGTTGAGCCCCCACCAAGCGAAGGAATCCATCCTCTCCTCCATCCTCCCAATCAGTGCTTAAGCCCATTAGTTCAAATTCACCTTCAGGCTTAGAGCTGCAAGCATCTTACCAGAACTGACAGATCTTCCTACCCAAACTGATTTAAAAGGACAGCAACAAGGACAAGATGAAGGGCACAGGCCCCAGACAGGACTGTGACCCCGTGGGCCATTTTCACCAGCCACAAAAAGACTGTGACAGTATTTAACAGGGTGGAACAAGTTTACTTCCTTTTTAACAATCTGGCCAAAGAGGGAAGGAGAATGAAAAACAATTACTTACCCTC